ATAATTATATACAGATGAGAAATTTTGTGACTGAAAACAACTTATGCTTTTTTGTGAATTAGAACAGAATATAAATATCTGAGAAGAATTGCCAGGTGCGGTGGCTCATGCCTATAATCTCAGCACTTTGGAAGGCAGAGATGACAGGATTGCTTGGGCCCAGGGGTTTGAGACCAGCCTGGGCAACTTGGCAAGACCTCATCTCTACAATAAACCAAAAAATTAGTGGGGCGTGGTGGTGCATACCTGTGGTTCCAGCTACTCAGAAGGCTGAGGTGGAAGGATCACCTGAGCCCATCAGACCAAAGCTGTGGTGGCTGTCAGTGAGCCACTGCACTCTAGCCTAGGCAACAGAGTAAGAGACTCCCACTTTAAAAAAAAAAAAAAAAAGTGAGATGAATGAACTCAAATTAAGTGAAGCTGATTTTCTAGTTAAATGCACTATGCTCTAGACTGTTTTCTTGGGGTCATTTATTCCTATACCTACCTATGTGCAAGTATATGTTCTGCTTTTAAGAATACTATATATTAGTCAGGTGCTGTGTGTATACCTATAATCCCAGCCACCTGGAAGGCTGAGGTGGGAGGAGTTTAAGAGCAGCTTAGGCAACACAGCAAGATCCTGTCTCAAAAAAATTTTTTTATATAAGAGGGGAACATAAAAAAGTCCTGGATTTATTAAAAAATTGTGTGTTTATTCTCACATGTTTAAATTTCAGTCACCTTCAAAGTACTCTTCGTCTGACACCCACCAAAACACTTTTTCTACTGCTCAAAACAGTTTTTTAACTTGTCAATTTTGATGCCTTTTAGTATGTCTGCCATTTTTTGTTTCACCTCTTCCTATAAGCGAAACGTTTCCCTTTGAGGACTTTTTTCATGGTGAGGAGGGGGAGACAAAAAAGCTGCGCCAGGTGAGATTCGGTAATAGGGAGGGTGGGGCACAGGCATCATGCCATTTTTAATCAAAAACTGCTAAACACCCAGCACAGTGTGGGCAGATTGTTGGAGTAAATAACACATCATGAAATGAGCAAATGCTTGAAAGAATCTCCCCCTGAAAGTGAACTGAAGCTGAATGCAGCCTCTTATAACAACACTAGCTGGTACACTGATGCCAATGGATTACTGGAAAACTTACCTAGTTGGGGAAGTCTGTACTATAAAGGGCCTATCCCCCCAAAAATATTTTTTTTTTGGTTTCCCTTGTATACAGTGTTTTATCAAACTAAGACACATTTTACATCTCTGCAATGAAGATGTATCTTCTAACTGATGGTATATAATAGCTTAACTAGTAGCATTTTTACTAAGTGGAATATAAAATAATGGTAATTATAATAGCATCTAGATGATACATTGTGGAAATTAAGAGCAAAAAACCTAGGCAACATAGCAAGACCTTGTCTTCACAAAAAAATAAAAAAATTTGCCAGGTGTGGCGGTGCATGCCTGTAGTCCTAGTGACTTGGGAGGCTGAGGCGGAAGGCTCGCCTGAGACCAAAAGGTTGAGGCTGTGCCACTACACTCCAGCCTGGACAACAAAGTAAGACCTCAACTCATTAAAAAAAAAAAAGGCAGTCACGGTGGCTCATACCTGTCATTCCAGCACTTTGGGAGGCGGATGCAAGAGGAGTGCCTGAGTCCAGGCGTTTAAGACCAGCCTGGAAAACTTAACGAGATCTCATCTCTACAATAAATGAAAAAATTAGCTGGGCATGGTGGCATGTGCCTATAGTTCCAGCTACTTGGAAGGCTGAAGTGGAAGGATTGCCTGAGCTCGGCAGGTCAAGGCTGAGGTGGCTGTGAGTATGCCATTATACTCTAGCCTGGGCGACAGAGTGAGACTCTGAATACAAAATAAAATAAAATAAAATAACGGAGTTAAGTTCAGGTATTATGCGAGGTATACCAATGACTATTATGTCTCACAGTAAAAACCACAACACATTTCTGTCAATATAAATCTAAGTAAATGGTAGGGATGAAAGAAGTGAGAAATGACTGAGAGACAATAGCAGGAGATTTTGGCTTAGGTAAAACAATTAATATGTATTTATAGAACCTAATAATATACTGAAAAAGTTAACAAAAATTTTTCTCCTAAGAATTTGAAAAAGTTCCAGAAAAATATAAAGCCATGAACTTACCTCTAAAACATGTTTCAATTTGGAGATGTAATGTTAGTATGTCAGAAGCAAACATGAAACTTTTAACTCCTTCCTCTTTGAAATTATGCTGCTTGGACAGGAATTGAGATATGCTCATCAGGCTCTTTATCAATATTGAGAATGGTGGAAATACAGAAAGCCTGTTGGGCTGATTCACCAAAACTAGTCATGTTTCTAAACTAATCTTGAATATTCTAATTATTTAATAGATGAGGCAGAGAGGCAAAGAGCCTTACCATTTGGTTGCTGCCTAAAAACAAGGCACCTTTCCCTTCATGTTATATGCTTTCCCTTCACACAATTCATCTACAGGAGGAACGTTTTTTTGAACAGCCAGGAAACAAAAAAGGTCATTAAACAAACGCTTGTCATTGTCATCTCCCAACCTGGTAATATATCTGAATTCTGAACATCTGCACATGGTCAAATATAACTCATTTCTAACACCACACTTCACCCACAAAGAAAATACATTAACTTCTATCATATTCCTTTAACTAGGAAAATCAGAAAAAGTCTGCTCAGGTTCAAAGGGAAAGGACATAACTCTACATCTTGATGGGGTAGTAACAAGATACTGGAAGACTATGTTAAGACTTGAAATACTGTTGGGGTCATTTTTGGAAAATATAACTTGCCATAGGTTTCTTTTGTTAAATGGGAAAAGGGTGATTATAAAAAGGCAGGTGAGAAAAAGAGAATTGGCATGATACATCGATCATGCATACGTTCTTGGTTAGATCTATTTAACAAAAAGTTCATATGGGAATTGAGGATCTGAATTTGTATTCTCTTAAAACAATTTATGCCTGTATATCCCTTGGAACATTTAATACTTTCAGGAGTATCATACTCTTGTTTGAAGATCCTGCTATAGAATAAACTCTAATTCTTTAATTATCTGAATTTTAAGATGCAGACTTAACTATAAGTTTTTCTAAAAAGTTATTCAGCATTTCTATAGAGGTAAAATGTGTTTTCTGGAATGCTAAAAAACAATCAGTTTCTATTTTAAAGAATGATTAATTTCTCTTACTCAGCTAAACAAAAATAGGATAATAGAAACAAACCAAATTACCAATACCACAATAATTTTGATAACTGAATATACTACCAACAGTATATTCCTTTCCTAAAGACAAAAAATATTTTCTTTTAAAAAAGTCAGAAAAGGCTAGATCTCTAGAAGTAGATGTTGGTAAACTTAGCAAGAATAAAATTTTACCTTTGTTTTGTAGTGAAATAAAATGCACATAGACCATTTGAATGTCTTCCAAATATTATATGAATACACTGGCATAAAATCCCTCTGAACTTCTTTTTCATCTTTGCCAATAACCCAGTGATCTCCAAGACATGGTTTCATAATTATTTCCAAGTGCCATTTCCTAAAGTCAACTTTTCTTACCTATGAAGTTCAATAAATGGTATTTACAAAAGTATTCTCTTTGTTCTAATTTTCATTATACATCATGGCTTCAATACATCTGGAAAGATAAGATATTAGGGAATAAAGACTTTCTCTTTAAAATACTGGAGAAAAATTACTAAATTATCCTGTTAATATATGGGGGGGAGGCAGTAATCAAAATTTCTACGGTCTTTCATCAAATATTTATTAAGCATCTACTATTGTTTTGCAAACAGTATTCTAAAAACTGAGTAAATAGGGATAAGACAGAAAGCAATAGCTACTATTTACTGAGTGCTCACTATGTGCCAGGCTCTGGTCTAAGATTCACATATATAAATCCATGTAATCCTCAAACACAACACCACAACACCTCTATGAACAGGCACTATTAATTTCCTCATTTTACATATGAGAAAATAGAGGCCCAGTGAACTCATCCAGCGAGTAACTGGTAGAAACATAATTTCCAAAATCCTGACTTTTATGAAGCTTTTAACCTAAAATCCTTCCATTTTTATTTTTTCCTTTGCCTCTGTGAAATGCCTAATAAACACATAGAACTGAGTATGATTCAAATAGGTGGTTGTCATCATTTTGTTTTTAGATATTTTTGGGAATTTTGAAACAAAATTTTAACTAGTTCTATCTTCATATTTTGTGACCTCAAAACTTCTAAATAGTCTGCGTTGAATGTTATAAGACTTGATTTTGTTTAAATAGCTGGGGAAAACTTTTATATTTTTCTCTTCATTACTATCGGTATATATACATAGGATCCCTTCCTTTTGAAAACCACCTCTGTAATCCAGGTCTAGTTGGGCTAAAGATCACAGAACCATGTCTTATTAGTGGTGAATCCAAAATTGAAGCTAATTAGGTTTCACTGTCTTGATCACAGTTAATTGGTTTAGTAATACAGAAAGATTATATAAGCATAGCCAATTTGTCTTCTCTGGGATTGATGGAGTTGACAGAAGTTCTTTTGCAATGGAGGATATTTGGGATTTCTGATAGCCATCTTCTTTGGCTTTAAGAGAAAATAACTTCACAACGCCGAGAACTAGAATAGAGAAATCAAACACTTTGATCTAACTATACATAGTCTATACTTGCCTTTTCCAGCTAAATGAGTATAAATTTATGCTTAAGTGAGTTTCTGGGACTTCAAGTTTTCATGCATTTTTACAGTATCATTAGACAAAATATGGATGTAGAACAATGGTTATAATGATATGAACAGAACTCTGTTATTCTCATTCTTTCTCTATGAATATAGAACTATCTACAGCTCAAAGGATGGCTTATCTATTTCATTTCCAAAAATAGTTTGAAAAACACCTATAAATTCTAAGTCATTACAAAGCATTATTTTATTAATTCTACTTCTTTATCATACCACAAAACCACAATATAGCTAGAAGACAAAATGTTTTATTTAAAACATTAGAAAAACATTAAAAGTGACATGTCCATTATTTGACCAGGAATGTTATAGAAACGGTAAGTCTTCTAAAATGTGATAGGTACTTCCAGAGACTACATACTGCAAATTATCCTTTCTTCTCTAGTATCAACAATACTTGATATGATGAGAAATACCAAAAAGACTACTAATAACGCAATCAATGTCATCATCTTTGGGCCAACTTATTAACACAAGTAAAAATTTTGTCCAGTATGTTCCTGACACATGAAGCTTCCAGGTGAATTTCAGAAATGTTAACAAAAGTATCTTCCTTTTTTGCCTGTGAATGTTTGAGTATTGCTGTATTGTTGGCTTATGTCCACTACAGATACTGGTTCTAGGCCAGCCCAAGGGTCTTCAAGCATTGAAGGCTTGAAATAACTTTCCAACTCATTAGACATTCTTTTTTCTCTACCACGCCCTGATCCAAATGGTGTAGATGTCCTTGGAGAACCCTTTAGGAAAAAAATCATCAGTTAAAAAAAACACTTAGTTGAGATAATTGGTAATTTTTCCTTTATCTAAAGACTAGTGGGAATCACATTGTTGGTTAAAAGTTGTGACCTGAATTCCAATATGTTCAATTCAAAGTCCATGCTTCCTTTAATCTGGTGTTTTTGTTCTTAAAAAGTATTTAAACCAGTTTGGTATACTCGTTTAATAATTCCAAGCCCGCTGTCATCTCACCTTAGCAGTTATTAAATACAAGTGGTGATGAAATCAAATAGCCATGAAATAAGTTAATTGTATTCAATTTTCTCTAGAAACTTATTTGTTTCCAGGAAGAAAAGTAAGCATCTTTTTAAAATCCTACAACTTTAAAGTTTTTAGAATCTATCTCATGAAACTTTTCTTAGCTCTAGGCTCAAAGAGGATGGGGCTGGTGGAGAACACACAAAATTAGAAAACCATGGAGTAAGACACAAGTTGTAAACCACGCAAATCCCAGAAACGCCAGAAATACTCCCTTTACCTCTTGCAATTAACTCTCACTGAAATGAATGGGAAATTTCCACTATCACCGACCTTCTCCTGAGAGAACTTGGAGAAGAAGCCAGAGTAGCTGGAAAAAAAAGATAAAGGCCAAAAAAGAAAAAGAAAAAATGACAGCTGTAAGAAGATGCCACCAGACTATAACCTAGATAAACTTTATCCTGGAGATTCACTTTTTCTTCCCTCAGAGGCCAGGGGCTCAGAATAATTTACTGAAAACAAACTGGCAAGACCCTTGGCAAAGAAGAGGAAACGAGGGGAACAATCTGTATATGAGTGGCAGTGTACTGGTTTAAAGCACGAGGGCTCTAAAAAGAAAGTACGGCTCTGCCACTTTTTCGGGGTAATCTTCGGAAAGTTACTTCTCGAAGCTTCAGTTTACTCATCGGCAGAATAGTACTAACAATAGTATCTCACCTCGAAGAGGATTAAACAAAATAATTCACGTAAAGGGAAGATCAGTACCATGCCTGCCATACAGTAAGAGCTCGGCAAACGCTGGCTATTATTATTACCTGGGGGTGGGTCTGCTGCTGCCCTGGGGAGTAGCCGAATTGCTGCTGGGACCCCGCGGGGGACTTGGAGTAGGAGCCAGGGTAGCCGCCAGGGGACGGAGACCCGAACCGGCCCCCCGGGAAGCCGCCGCCATGTCGCGGAGAGTGGTTACTCCCGTAGGGCCTAGACCGGGGCCCGTACGGCGGCGTGTGGTGCGGACTCCCGTACCCGTCCCGAGGAGAGGGCGGCCGCGGTCCGCCCCCGCTCGGGGTGCCCCGGAAGCTGCTCCCGCTACCCCAACCTCCTACACCCGGACCGGGGCAAGGAGGAGTCGGGGGCCGAAAATTCTGTCGTTGCATATCAGGAGCCGAAGACGAAGCACTCACAGCCGAGTTCTCCTACCGGAACTGTACCGACCCACTCTCCGCAGAGAAGTGGTAGTCCTTTACCAAAACAGTCCTCCAGCCGCCCGCTCCGTTCAGCTCTCGGGTTCCGGCCTCACGAAGGTTCCGCAAGGGCTGCGGGATAAACCGGTTACCGAGTTCGGTAGAGCTTGAGTGAACTTAAGCGAAGGAAGGAGGAAGAAAAAGAACAAAGGAAAGGCTGAACTCCTGACCCCAGCAACGACTTTTCCAGCCTGGGCACCCTCGGTTTGACGACGGACTAGACAGGCCCCCCCTCGGGCGACGCGGACCTGGAAGCGCAGCGCCCCACCCTGCGGGGGCAGGGCCTGAGGTGTCCGTGGGCGCCCCCAGTGGCTGCGGGTGGCGCCGCGCTGGGTTCGCCCTGACGCCGGGACGGGCTGGTGTCTGAGGAGCGCGCGATGCTGGCGACGCTGGCGAGGGTGGCAGCTCTGCGAAGAACCGGCCTCCTCTCCGGCCGGTGCGGCGGGAGGGGGCTGTGGACCGGCCGCCCGCAGTCAGGTACCCTGCAAGACTCGGTCTGGGCGGCGACAGGGACCCCGGCCCCAGCTTCCTCCCTCGGGGCGCCCCGAGAGGAGCGCGGGCGCTCCCCTGAAGGCGTTGCTGTCCCCGCAGCCCGTCCTCGGGCTGTTCTCGCCACGCTGCGTCCTCACTCCGCGGCCCCGCGGCCGGCCTCGTCCCGCTCTTCGGACACCCCGGGGTCGCCCTGCCCTGTGCTGCGGCTCGGGACCGGGGCTCACGCTGAGCGTTCGGCCCCTGCGCGACACTGGGCTGGCGCCCTGCCTCTCTTGCCCTGACCGTCTCGTTCCCCCCCAAGTTTAAAGAACTTTAAAGATGTACACTCAGGCCGGGCGCGATGGCGCACGCCTGTAATCCTAGCACTTTCGGAGGCCGAAGCGGGAGGAGGATTGCTGGAGCCTAGGAGTTCGAAACCAGCCTAGGCAACTTAGCGAGCCACCTCGTCTCCTTAAAAAAAAAAAAAAAAAAAGATTTTATTTATTTATTTATTTTTTTAGCTGGGCGTGGTGATGCGCCCCTGTAGTCCCAGCTTCTGTGGAGGCTGAAGTGGACGGATCGCCGCAGCCCAGGAGGTCGAGGCTGCGTTGAGCCGTGACTGTGCCACTACACTCCAGTATGGGTGACAGACTCCGACTTAACAGAAAAAAAAAAAAAAAGGAAAAAGAGAAGTACACTCAGTCGCATTCCAGAAAGGACTTTATCCTGCTCGTTGCTTTGAATAACTTGGAGGGAAAGGGCTGTGCCAGCAAATGCTGCACTTTACCCCTTCCCTGCAGTTCTTGTTAAGTGGAAGCGAGTTATAGGGAGGACATTACAAAGCAGAGATAGTGATTTTCAGAAAGGGCAAAATGTGACCAATACTCGTAAAATCTTATTTTTGTTGTTATTTATTATTTAAATTAAGAAAGGTAGATTTGTTAAAGAGAAGATAACATTGTGAAGGACAGCAGCAAGAGTGTCTGTCTGCTGTCTGCTGCCAAATTTTACTGTTTCACAAACTTTTATAAAGACAATGTGACAGTTCAAGAATGACACCTCATGTATAATAAAACCCGCATTGGCACAGATACCTGTCCCAGAATTTTATTTAGAGGATGAAATTCAGACTTACTACAGTTTTGTGGAACTTTCTTTACTCCTGCAGAATTTGAGAATGGTAATCCACTATGAATCTTGAATTCAGTTGTGGGATACAGCATTTTAAGAAACATTAGGACTCATTACATCTTAGCTTGATGGGTCACCTGGATCTGTGCTTTTCTTTTGGCCCACACAACTTCTTATAGCTGCTGCTGCTGCTTACTCTGTCTCTTTGACATGTTCTGTGACATGCCAAGCTGAAGAGTGTAATATCTTCTCAGCTTCTATCCTCCTTTGATACACAAGTTTTTTTGTTTGTTTATGCTAGGGAAATTCAGTTTCTCACACTTCTTTCTTCCTGTAGACACATGTTGTAGAATCAATCAAGGTAGGATAATGCCATCAAAGCTTAGTGGTACAATAAGGCCTGAAACCTCTGACCTGTTCTTTACTTTATTATATACAGTGGTTGTGTACTGACCAAAAATTAACCTTTCTGGATATTGTCTTTAGTGCATAACTTAGTGCCTGGTAAATGGGCACTTGACTATTTATTGAATGAATGAAAGGAACACATTCTTCATATTGGTCAGCAATTTTCACTTTTTAAAATGGATCATCAACCAATCTACTTTGGGGTGTAGACAGAAATGTGAGAGTAGTAGGGACCAAAACTACATTTATTAGTGGTTTTTTTTTTTAAACTGGCAAAGATACGTTGATTAGGTCTCAACCTGCTGAGTTAAGTACTGTAGTCTTTTTACTTGACTTATACTTACAGAATGCTCTTCCCTATAGTGGTATCTTGCTATCTTCAACGCTTATAACTTGCATTAGAAATGGAGGAGGGGAAGAAATATAGTGGGAGTTTTTAAAAATTAAGTTAAAAAATAAAAATAAAATTAACAAGTTAATGAATTATATTTGAATTGAGGCCTAGCTCTGTTGCTCAGACTGGCATGATCATAGCTTACTTAACCTTAAACTCCTGGGCTCCAGCGATCCTCTTGCCCCAGCCTCTCAATTAGCTAGGACTACAGGCATGAGATAGCAAGGTCAGCTAATTTTTAAATTTTTTTGTAGACATGAGGTGGCACTATGTTGCCCAGGCTGGTCTTGAACTCATGGCCTCAAATAATCCTCCTGCCTTGGCCTCCCAAAGCACTGGGATTACAGGCGTAAGCCACTGCCCCCAACCAACAAGTTAATAATAAACAGTTTAATTAATGGGCACATGAGTGTATAAGCCTGTATTCTACCAACCCATTTATCTATATAACTTCAATCTGTTACTAAATTTCACTAAAATTTATTAAAATTTAAAAGATATGTTCTTTTGAAGATTCCAGCAGTATATTTTGTATCAAGATGCAAAACTGACCAATAAAACAATTTTGCACTGCAAGCTTCCTGTCTTATAGTAGTATACTTACATATATATTTAATTTTTTATTTGCATCTATTCATGGGGTACAAGTACAATTCTGCTATATTGATATATTGCATTGTGATGAAGTCAGGGCTGTTAGTGCATCTGTCACTGGAGCAATGCACATTGTAACCACCAAGCAACCTCCCATCACCCATCTCCCACCCCTCTGAGTCTCCATTGTCCATCATTCTACACTGCTTACATGTGCACACATTATTTAGCTCCCACTTATAAGTGAGAATATGCAGTATTTGTCTTTCTGTGTTTGAATTGTTTCACTTAACATAATGGCCTCCAGTTCCTTCCATGTTGCTGTAAATGACATGATTTCATTCTTTATTTTTAAATGACTGAATGGTATTTTGTGTATGTATACCATATTTTCTTCATCCAGTCATCTCTGGATGGGCATGTAGGTTGATTCCATATCTTTGCTATTGTAAATAGTACTGCAAAAAACATACGAGTGTAGGTATCTGTGATATAATGATTTCTCTTTCTTTGGGTAGATGCCCAGTAGCAGGATTGCTGGATTTGTGGTAGTTCTATTTTTAATTTTGTGAGAAACCTCCATTACTGTTTTCCATAAAGGTTGTACTTATTTACATTCCCACTAACAGTGTATAAGAATTCCCTTTATCTCTATATCCTTGCCAGCATTTGTTCTTTTTTGTCTTTTTAATTATAGCCATTCTGATTGGTGTGAGATGATATCTCATTATGGTGGTAATTTGCATTTCTCTGATGATTAGTGGTGTTGAACCTTTTTTCATATGCTTGTTGGCCATTTGTCTTCTTTTGAAAAATGTCATTATGTCCTCAGCCTGCTGTTTAATGGGATTTTTTGGTGTTTTTGTTTGAGTTGTTTGAATTTCTTGTGAATTCTGGGTATTAGTTTTCTGTTGGATGTATATTTTGCAAATATTTTCTCTTATTTTGTAGATTGTTCACTCTTGATTATTTATTTTGCTGTGCAAAAGCTTTTTAGTTTAATCAAGTCTCATTTGTTTATTTTTTTAAACTTATGCTTTTGAGGTCTTAGTCATAAATTCTTTGCTTAGACCAATGTCTAGAAGAGTTTTCCCTGAATATTTTGATAGTTTCAGGTCTTACATTCAAGTCGTTTTTGTTCTTGTTGCTGCTGTTTTTTGAGCTGGAGTCTCTGTCCCCCAGGCTGGTGTGCAGTAGCACTATCACTGCTCACTGCAGCCTTGACCTCCTAAGCTCAGCCTCCCAAGTAGCTGGTACTAATGCAGGTGCCACCACACATAGCTAATTTTTAAAATGTTTTTGTAGAGACGAGGTCTTTTTATGTAGGCTGGCCTTGAACTCCTCGGCTCAAGCAATCCTCCTGTCTTGACCTCCCAAAGTGCTAGAATTGTAGGCATGAGCTATTGTTCCTGGCCTTTTGTTGTTGTTGTTGCTGTTGCTCAGGCTGGAGTGCAGTGGAATAATCCAGTTTACTGCAACCTTGCCCTCCTGGGCTCAAGCGCTCTTCCCACTTTAGCTTCCCCAGTAGCTGGGACTACAGACGTGCAATACATTGTCTGGCTACTTTAAAAAATTTTTTTGTTGGAGACAAGGTCTCGCTATGCTGCCTGGGCTGGTGTCAAACTCTCGGGCTCAAGCGATTCTCCTGCCTCAGCTTCCCAAAGCTCTGGGATTACAGGCGTGAGCCACCATGCCTAGCCTAAGTTTTTAATCCATCTTGGGTTGATTTTTGTATGTGGTGAGAGAGAGGTCTGGTTTCATTTTTCCACCATATAGCAACTCAATTTTCTCAGCACTGTTTATTGAAAAGGATATCTTTTCCTCAGTGTGTGTTCCTGCTGACTTTGTCAAAGATCATTTGGCTGTATGTGGCTTTATTTCTGGGTTCTCTATTCTGTTCTATTGATCCTTGCATCTATTTTTGTATCAGTACCATTCATTTTGTTTTGGTTACAATAGCCTTGTAGTATATTTTGAAGTCAGGCAATGTGATGCGTCCAGCTTTGTTCTTTTTGTTTAGGATTACTTTGGCTATTTTTTGTTCTACATGAAAACCAGAATTGTTTTTTCTAATTCTGTGAAAAATGATGTTGGTATTTTGATAGGAATTGCATTGAACCTGTAGATTGCTTTGGGCAGTGTGGTTATTTAAAAAATATTAATTTTTCCAATCCATGAGATGTGTTTCCTTTTGCTTGTGTCATCTACATTTTTTTATCAGTGTTTTTTAGTTTTTATTGTAGAGATGTTTCACCTCCTTGGTTAAATAGATTCCAGGCTGGGTGCAGTGGCTCATGCCTATAATCCTAGCACTTTGGGAGGCTGAGGCAGGAGGATTGCTTGAGCCCAGGAATTTGAGACCAGCATAGGCAACATGGTGAAATCTCATCTCTACAAAAAAATTAAAAAAAAAAAAGTAAGCTGAGCATAGTGGTCGTATGTAACCCCAGTTACTCAGGAGGTTGAGGCAAGAAGATCACTTGAGCTCAGGAGTTTGAGGCTGTGGTGAGACGTGATTGTGCCACTGCACTCCAGCCTGTGTGACAGAGTGAGACCCTGACTCAAGGCAAAACAAAACAAAAAACAAACCCCAAATGTGTGTGTGTGTATTTTATTTTTTCTTACCATTGTAAATGTTGTAAATATTGTAAATGCCTTCTTGATTTGGGCCTAGGCTAGATCATTATTGGTGTACAGAAGCACTAATGATTTATAAATTTTGACAGGTAGATTGTGGATGACAATGTGCCTCTCATCACATTACAGGTAATATATGAGGGTTGAGGGAGAGTGAACACACTAGTTTATACTTGGATCACTTCTGGGATTAGGCCATTTTGCTTTTTACATGTGAGAAATTTACCAAAAGAAATTAAGGGACTTGCTTAAGTTCACATAGCAAGCAGAGGTAGGACTAGAATTCAGGGTTATGGGCTCTCAGGCAATTTTTTTCCTAAGAAATATGAATTGATAATCAGTTGTGGAACATTTGCTGAAAAACCACTTACATGAGGCAGATTGACTAATAGGAGAAAAGGCAAACACATTTATTTAATATATATATATAGGAACCTAAAGAATGAAGACCCATCTTTTTTTTTTTTTTTTGAGTTGGAGTCTCACTTTGTTGTCCAGGCTGGAGTGCAGTAGCACGCTCATGGCCACCCCAGTGTGAACCTGCTGGGCTCAGGTGAACCTTCTGCCTTAGCCTTCCAAGTAGTCGGAACAACAGGTGTGCGCTACCACACCCGGCTAATTTTTAATTTTATTGTAGAGACGAGGTTTCGCCAAGTTTCCTGGGCTGATCTCGAACCCGTGGGCTCAGGCAATCCACTCGCTTCAGTCTCCCAAAATGCTGGGATTATAGGCTGAGCTACCAAGCTCTGCCGAAGATCCATGTTATGTACCATCTTTAAGTTACAGTAAGAATGGGGTTTGGATCCTGGCAGAAGAGGTTATGGGGAGGGGAGAGGAATTCTGTTGAGGGTCAATCAAGAATCATAAGGGAGAATGACTAGATGGGGAACTGATTAATTGGTAAATGGCTTACTTTGGAATTTGAAAGTCTGAGAGACAGGCATCTTGTGAAAGTGTCTGTTGTGGGTGGTTACAGCCTTGGTCTTAAAGGAAGAAGAAGAAACAATTGTTCTTCTTGGTGGGTGTGGACTTTAGGCAAATAAAGGAACTTCAACTTCATTGGTAGAGGCCATGGGGGTGGAGAAGGTCAGGAAGACCTTGAGGCTTCTTCAACATGAAAATGTGCCTTATTTTGGGAAAACAGTTTCTGAACTCCAACACAGTTTATCTTTTGACAAGTGTGAACGTTTGTAAGAGATACTGTGTAGCTTATTTTAGATTTAGAGATTCATAGAGATTAACCTTAAATATTGGAATTTTAATAAATGTAGCTAGGGTCTTTCTAGGCTGTAACCGGGTAATTTTAATTTGGATGTCTGAACTGGGAAGCCTGAGTTCTCCAAGTGTCTACTTGTATTTGTATACAGAGGAGATCATCAGAACATCAAGAAACATTTTGAGCACCAGTGGGTCTCTTGGAGGACCCTAGAAATAATTGATTAACTTTGTTGTGGTGTGTGTTTATAAGTTCCACAATAATGCAAGTACACTTAAGTATGAATATGTGTGACCTTGCCTGTTATATATGATTGAAGATTTTTACTTAAGTTACCTAAGATTTTTTGGGTGTTTCTTTTTTCAGTAGATTTCAAAGTTGTAGCTGTTTTTTTTGTAGAGCTTTATGTTTAGAAAATTTCTCTTGGAAGCCTATATATGAGAGAAGAAGGGCTGTTTTTGAAGAAGGAATTAGGGTCCCAGAGCCCTGCTCACTCTGTACCCCACTTTAACTACTTCCATCTCCCACCACCACCAAAGATGCTTAAGGGGCACCTCTGAGGAATTCCCAAAGCTCTGTAAAAAGGGTTTGAAAGCCACTATTTTAGGTAGACATCAGGTATTAACCAGTGCTGAAAATATAAATACTTGCGTTAGTTTTACTGTGTATTATCAAGAAGTAAACATTTTTATGTTTCTGCATGGGTAGGACTTTCTAAGCAAAGAAAACAAGAACTTGGGTTAAATGACAAGTCTTGGATGTTAAAAAATGACTGAAGAGATGGAGAACTTTTTTTTTGGAGGGGGGTAAATTGTAATTTTTTTAAAATTGAAAAACAGATATACAACTTGGAATGGATTTGTGGCAAATTGTGTTTAAGCATATTTTCTTTAAGTGGCTAAACAAAGTTTAAAAAGCAAGTAACAAAAAGAGAAAATGTTTCTGATACAGGACCAGCAGTACCAAAAAATAGTATACAAGTACCTGTGTAATATACCCATTTTGCAATAGTGCAACTTTTAAGTTATATTGTTCACTGTCCATTGTCCCTGCAGAGTTACAACTCCACATTTAAACAACATGCTGATAGTTCCTAAAGAAAACTACCTGGCCGGGCATGGTGGCTCACGCCTGTAATCCCAGCACTTTGGGAGGAAGAGGTGAGAAGAATGTCTGAACCCAGGGGTTCGAGACCAGCCTGGGCAACTTAGCAAGACCTTTTCTCTACAATAAGTCAAAAAATTAGCCTGGTATGGTGGCGTGCACCAGTAGTTCCAGCTACTTGGAAGGCTGAGACAGAAAGATAAGATCACCTGAGCCCAGCAGGTTGAGGCTGTGGTGGCTGTGAGCATGCCACTGCACTCCAGCCTGGGTGACAGAGTGAGACTCCAACTCAAAAAAAAAAAAAAGAAAAAGAAAAAGAAAAAAAGAAAACTACCTTAAAAAAAGGCATAACCCAGATGTTCCCTCATTTGACCAACTCCATCTAGGTTTAGTTGTGCAGAAGGGTTTAGATATATCAGGAATAAGCCAAATGTAACATGTTACTTGATAATTTTCTGAAATAAGATTTCAGGGCAGTGAAAGATAAGGGAGAAAACATGGAGGAATGAAGTCCTAATTACTATACATGTCTATTTTTTTTGATAGTAGGGAGGAACCTTTTACAGATAAGTTACAAACAAAGGAAAGGCAAATAGACAATTTTATACAAGAAATGTAACACATTCTGTACAATATCTTCACTTTGCTGTCATTATTTGTATAAACACTTCATAGTTTACTTGACTATCACCATCAGTATCTGCTTCTCTGATCGTTTTATCAACATCTTCATCTGTTAACTTCTCTCCAAGGTTTGTCATTGTGAGAAACCTGTCCAAAATCAAAATCAAAGGATGGACACAGAGACATGAAGTGAAGCAGAAGTGAGACTTTAATGATGGTCTTGCAAGATCGGGGTGTCTGGTGAGCAGGCACACCACAGCAGGAAGAGTCAGCACTTTCATCCCTAAAATTCAGGTTCCTCTCCTGGTTCCTTATTGGAGGAATACTGCAGAAGTTACAGGCTCTCCCTTATGATGCCTACGTGACATATTTTGATTGACTTATAGAATCATTTCATTTGTATGTCCTATTTGCCGGTTGACTTACAGAATTACCATTCTCATTGTATCCTGCCAAAAGTTTAAATATGAAGTCCACCAAAGTAAAAAAAACCTATGAAAAGGAAGCACAAAGAAGCAGGAAGTGAATCAACAAAAGAGCAGCACAAAGCATTTAGACACCATCTTGAGAACCCAAGATAAGCCAGGCTTCAATTTGAAAATAAGTCACGATTCTTATTTCTCACATCATCACATGGCAAAGCTCTGCTGCACTCATATAGCCATTGCCATCCTTATCAAATACATGGAATGCTTCTCTAATTTCTTCTTCACTGGTTGTGTCTTTCATTTTTCTTGCCATCATTGTCAGAAATTCAGGGAAGTCAATTGTGCCATTACCATCAGCATCTACATTAATCATGTCCTGTAACTCTGCTTCTGTGTGATTCTGCCCAAGAGACCTCTTTACAGTTCCCAATTCTTTTGTTGTTAAAGTTCCATCATCATTCTTGTCAAATAGCAAAAAAGCTTCTTTGAATTCTGCAATCTGCTCTTCAGTCAGCTGGTCAGCCTGGTAATTCATCAGTCAGTTGGTAGCAAGCGCTACTGGGTTTCCGAGACACAACCACTTAGCTCGATTGCTCCACTCAGACTCGAGATGGAGAGCTTCTAGGAGATATGTTATGTGTTTATTTGGATTCAGAGTTTCACTCTGTCACTCAGGCTGGAGTGCAGTGGCACCATGATGTTTCACCTCAGCCTCAACCTCCTGGGCTCGGGCGAATCCTCTGTCTCAGCCTGTAGAGTAGCTGGATTTACAGGTTTGTAACCGCACCCAGCTAATTTTTCAATTTTTTTGTTGAGACAAGGTCTTGCTACGTTTCCTAGTCTCGTGTAGTACTTCTAGACTCAAGAAATCCTCCTGGCTTGGCCTCCCAAAATGCTGGGATTACAGGTATGAGCCAACACGTCTGGCCTATGTGCTTATATTTAAAAGGGATATAAAAGTCTGGGCAACATAGCAAGACCCTGTTTCTACAAAAAATGGAAAAATTAGCTAGCATTATGGTGGTGCATGCCTTCGTCCTAGCTACTCTGGAGGCTGAGGTGGAAAGATTGCTTGAGCCCAGGAGTATGAGGCTACGCTGAACTGTGACTGTGCCACTGCAGTCCAGCCTAGGAAACAGAGTGAGACCTCGTCTCTAAAAAAAAGAAAGAAAGAAAAAAAGCAGAGCCTTGGAGACATTCTCAAGATTATAAAGCTAGTAATACTTATCTGATGTTTCCCTGGAGACATTTATTTGCATTTCAAAGGGTAAGAACCCAGGGATCATCCCCTTTTCTCTCCAAGGACAATTATTTTAGGTAGATTAACTTTCTCTCCTTTCCCTAGAGAAGGTGGCAGCTGGGCTGTAATTCTGTACAAAGTTCCAGATTAAAAAAAAATTTTAGGGTTCTTCTTCTGGGGTCCAGTTCTTGCAATATGCCGACCTAACCAATGGGTTTTCATTACATTGTCTATGGAATATAGGTGTGGGAAAATGGCACATTTCTTGATTTAAGTAATATTAACTCTGATCTCTGTCCAGAAACTTTGTGTTTACTTTCAGACCACAAGAATGAATAAACATAGAGATTACAAACTTATGGTTTTTATTTATTATTTATTTATTCTTTTAAAATTTCAGTCTCACTCTGTCACCCAGGCTGGAGTCATTTTGACTTACTGCAGCCTTTACTTCCTGGGTTTAGGTGACCCTTCTGCTTCAGCCTCCAGAGTAGTTGGTACTATAGGCTTGTACCATCATGCCGAGCTAATTTTTTGGATTTTTTTGTAGAGATAGGTTTCACTATGTTGTCTAGGCTGGTCTCCAACTCCTGGGCTCAAGCAATCCTCTTGCCTCCCAAAGGGCTAGGATTACAGGCATGAACCACCATGATTAGCCAAAAAGTTATGTATTTCTTAGGGAGTATACTTAATGGTTTCTCTGTGTGTAAATGATTTTATGTGTATTTTGGGCTTAAACTTTACCTTAATATTTCCTGAAGCTTTTCTGATTATTTCAGTTTTCCTTATAGAGGTACCTATTGTTAGCTGTTTCATGTTAAAGCCTGCTAGTAGTGGAAAGGTAAATGCTTCTCTAGGATGTGATTAGCTTACTCATTGACAAAGTTAGGCCTACATTGAACAAAGTAGATCACTTCACTATCCCTTAAGTAATGGCCTCCTTGAAAAAGCAAGCATGAGTGACTTGGGACTACCTCCCAATTCCACTAGGAGAACCAAGAGTGCACACAGGTTGGGAGCTTGAGCTCTTCTCTCTGTACCTCCCCACCCCCACAAGGCTCAAAACAGAGAATTTGGGTAACCTCTACATTCTGGCCCACCACCTAGGTTGGCTGGGCACTTCCTAGGAGCAACATAGGCCAAATTGAAAGCCCACAGGCACCATCATAGCTGGCTCTTTCCTGCAAGGGCTACCTCCTAGTTGGAGGAATTATGTCAGCCCATCACATCTGATATAATACCTCAGCTTTGGGGAATGTCTGATCTCAGACACCAGCTAACACCATTAGCCAATCCACCCTGGCCGTTTAGGACACCCTGAGCCTGTACAGATAGGACCCAATACAGGACCACCACAGCTGGCAATTGAGAAATCACCACACAGAGGCTATATGTAATCACAGGAACCCTATAATGTCTAATCAGCCCACTGCCAACTTCAAATAAGAAGAAATAGTCTATCCAAATGAGAAGGAACCAGAAAAATAATTCTGACAATATGAAAAGACAGAGTTCTTCAACACCCCCAAAAGACCACACTAACTCTTCAGCAAATGGGTCCAACCAAGATGAAATCTTTGAAAGTCAACATAGTACTGGAAGTCCTAGCTAGAGCAGTCAGGCAAGAGAAATAAATAAAGAGTATCCAAATAGGAAAAGAATAAATGAAAAATGATCTCTGTATGCTAATTGTATGATCTTATACCTAGAAAATCCCAAAGACTCCTTCAAAAGACTCCTGGACTTGATAAATGAATCAGTAAAGATTCAGGATATAAAATCAACACACACAAATCTGTAGCACTGCTATATACCAATAGAGGCAAAGCTGAGAATCAAATAAAAAAATTTTAACTGGGTCAGATTTTCCTATGAGAAACAAAACTGGCCACCTACAGCAAAATGTCAAAATGAACGAGTCCTTCCTTCCTCCTCCTTCCAATTATATTCATTATGTCTCCTTTCAAGACTATTGTCCTCATCATGCTTATTCCTTCACAAGTCTAAACTTGAGGGGATATGAAGGAGACCAACATCAAGAAAAGAAAATTCAATTCAGAAATGAAGAAAACTGGCAGGTATACAATATACCCCCAGAGCATCGCAATATCCCTGCTACAGTACAATCCAGTGTACTGCTGCAATCCATATATTGGCAGCTTAAGCAAGTTCATTTTTTTCTCTCTGGTGATTTGTCATGTTGGCTCCTAAGGAACTGCTGTTGTAAGCAGCTCATCAAGAGCTGAACTTCATGTAGCCTTGTTGGGAATATGGAAAAGGAAGAAAGCCACAGGACTGCCTATTCAGTCTTGGGAAGATCTGGATGATTCTGCACAAACAAAAATGACTTGAAATTTATATAGACGTACCTCTACCAATCCATCTTCAGCTGACTGAATATTGTATGATAACCCTTCTTCAAAGCAGGTGGAATGTTCTGGTTTCACCACAGATTTTCTACTCATTTTTGGAATTAGCTTATAAATTCCAGGTCTCTTTTGTATATAACCTTTATTCTTTTGCTTTTTTAAGAATAATTTTGTTTCATTTTAAAGCACTTGTTTTAGTCAGTGGTTCCTGTTCAGCATTATTTGAACCCTTACAAAAAGAGAAATATTTATTTGTGTTTTAAATAAAACTGGGGTAGGAAAAAAATTTTTAGCTGAAAAGCTAAAATACCTAGGGATGCATTTAACCAAGGTGGTGAAATATCTCTACAAGGAGAACTACAAAACACTGATGAAAGAAACTGTAGCAGACACAAATGAAGAAACATCCCAAGCTCATGGACTGGAAGAATCAACATTGTTAAAATGGCCATACTACCCAAAGTAATCTATCGATTCACCACAATTCCTATCAAACTTCCAAAGTCATTTTTCACAGAAATAGAAAAACAACCCCAAAATTCATAGGGAACCAAAAAGGAGTCAGAATAGTCAAAGCAATCCTAAACAAAAAGAACAAAGCTGGAGGCATCACATTACTTGACTTCAAGTTATACTACAAGGCTGTAGTTGTCAAAACATATGGTACAGGTACAGGAGCAGACACATGGACCACTGGAACAGAATAGAGAATCCAGAAATAAACCTAAATGCCTACAATCAATTGATGTTTGAAAAAGGAGAGAAAAACATAAACTGGGGAAAGGACACTCTATTCAATAAATGGTGCTTGGAAAATTGCATAGTGGCATGCAGAAAAATGAAACTTGATCCCCATCTCTCCCCATATTGAAACATTAACTCAAGATGGATTAAAGACTTAAATGTCAGACTTGAAACCAGAAAAATCCTAGAAGAAAACCTAGAAAAATTCTTCTGGACATTGGCCTAAACATGAATTTAGGACTAAAACTCCAAAAGCAAATGCAACAAAAACAAAAATAAATGAGACTTAATTAAACAAAAAATCTGCACAGCAAAAGAAATAACCAACAGAGCAAATAGGCAACCTACAGAGTGGGAGAAGATGTTCACAAACTATATATCTGACAAAGGCCTAATCTCCAGAATCTACAAAGAACTCAAACAAATCAGTGAGAAAAAAGCAAATTACTCCATTAAAAAGTGGGCAAAAAGTATGAACAGACATCTCTCAAAAGAAGATATACAAATGGCCAACAAACAAACGTGAAAAATGTTCAACATCGCTCATCATCAGGGAAATGCAAATTAAAACCACAGTGAGATACTGCCTTACACCAGTCAGAATGGCTATTATTAAAAAAAATCAACAAATGAATGCCCAAGTGGATGCAGAGGAAAGGGAATGCTTATACACTATGGTGATGTGAGGTGACTGAAGACCCATTGGTGGTGACCAGGTTCTTGGTGTAGTGAACAAATAATTGGACAAGACACACAGAAAGACCATAAGCAAAGAGTAGTTTATTAAGCAAAAGCGACAGGTGTACACTCCAAAGAAAGGTAGGAGTGGACTCGAGTTGAAGAGTAGCCCAAGAGCCTCCACTCATACAAAACTGGAACCTTTTATATTCTTTTTGGTGGGAAAGTGTCTGATTTTGCCAATCTTTCAAAAAGGACATTTTGACTAATGTTTCTGGGGTTAAATGTGCTTTCTGGGGATAGAGTAATATTTTAGGCTACTGCACGGTTCTGCCCACCATCTCATAATTTTCTAAAGAAAATTTGCCTAACTGTATCTAAGCTATGTGCTGTGCTAACTATGCCTGCCTCAACTCCTCTCTACCTTAAATATTTCAATCATAAGCATATGGGGAGTTGAGGGAGGGAGGTTCATCTTCTGTAACTTCTTTTAGGCTGACAAGG